CCTCCCCACCACCACCACAACAACAACCAATGTAATTTAAAAAAAAAAACAAGACGACAAATGAAAGGTTTTCATATCTAAAATATTAATCCCCACAAACAACTTGATGACTCTCAGTTACTGCAGTGAAGCTGCATGCACGCATTCTCTCTTTGAAACCAGTGGCTTACGAGTGTGGAGTTGAAGAGATCCTCAATCGGAAGATTCTTGTATGGAAACTCTATGATATTAAATGACGCGGATGACTTCAGGGAGTAAGAGTGGTTCTGGTTCTCCTTCTGAATGGAAACAAAAACGGGATGGTTTCTCAGGTGGCAAGGCCTTTATTATTCCTCTGACAAACGAACAAATCTGCGGGTGCATCCATCTGCTTACATTCATAAATGTCTCGGTCCACAGCAGGGATTTGATATACAGGATTGCACTCTTCCCTCGATCCAGCCGCCCGACCTGGCAGATGATCTGCAAGCACTTAGCGACTCCACAGCCCTGAGGGGATGAACCATTTTCACTTAGAAAGTAAGATCACACTGTCTCTTTTTAACACTGATATTTAACATTTGAACATGAAGCATTCTCACAAGAAGACCAAAGAGGAAGTGTATAGATTGTTCTGCCTTTTAGGAACAATGCTTAACAAACAAGACAACAGTTAACCCTGTGCTTTTTGTTAAATTGTTTTTTATTTTATTTTTTATTTGAAACAGGGTCTCATTATATAGCCCTAGTTGTCCTGGAACTGACTGTGTAGACTAGACTGCCCTGGAACTAGCAGAGGTCTGCCTGCTACTGCCTCTCAGTGTTGAGAGTAAAGGCGTGTGCCATCACACACAGCAAAATCAGTGTTTTTTTGAATGCAAATTATTCTAGAAACATAAAATATGTAATATTGAAAATTTCATTTTTATAACAACTCAACAATCTTTAGGGGACCCCTCAACATTTTTTAAGACACAAACATCATCAATTTTAAGGCATAAACATCAGATCACAGTAACTCTGCAGAAAAGAAAGGAAGCAGTGAACAGTAATTGTTCTGCGTGAGACTCGCAGAGAGACAATCACATGCTGATGAATAGTTGGCCAACACAGAAGGGACTCAATAGTATGTTTGTGGACTCTTTTCATTTTGCTTTGCTTTGGTGTTTTTTTTTTTTTTTTTTGTCTTATTGGTCTTTTGCTTTTGTTTTATGTTTTTCCCCCTATGTTTCTGTGGGACTTTTTTGTGTGTGTGGTTTTTTTTTTCTTTCTTGTTGTTTCTTACAGAGAAATAGAATAAGAACATAAAATTAGCTGAGTAGGAAGGTGGGGGAGTATCTGGGAGGAACTCATCAAAATCTATCAAATGCAAAATGTTTCAACATAAAAAGTGAATACTATATTTTTTAAAGCAAAATGGGGACAAGAGAAATAGTGTGGGACACTAGGTGCAAACAGACAGACAGCAAGGTGTTGATGGAGGCTGCTCAGACTTGAATAATCACACAGAAAATGTATTAATTAAGTCACTGCTTGGCCTATTAGCTCTAGCTTCTTATTGGCTAGCTCTTAGACCTTAAATTAACCAATTTCTATTAATCTGTGTATCGCTACATGGCTGTGCCTTACCAGCAAGGTCTGGGCACATCTGTCTCCTGCTGGCGGCTACCTGGTGTCTCACTGACCCCACCTTCTTTTTCCCAGCATTCAGTTTAGTGTTCCCACCTAGCTCTACTATGCTCTATTATAGGCCAAAGCAGCTTCTTTATTCATTAACCATTAAAAGCAACCATATACAGAAGGACTTCCCACATCAACAAGGGCCCTGATTATAACATAATACAGGCTATTATGTTATAAAGCTGATTACATTAGGGGCTCTCATTAGTTTTCCTTTTTTATGAATATTTTAAATTGTGTGTATCTGTGTGGGGATAAGCAAACATGAACGCAAACATGGTGTTCTTTGAAACCATAGGTGTTGTCTCCCTCTGGAGCTGTGGTCATAGTTATGAGCTGCCTATTGTGGGTGCTGAGAACCTAATTCGGGTCCTCTGGAGAAAAAGCCAGAGCTCTTAACCACTGAGATATCTTTCTAGTCACCTATGATTTTCCTGAGTCAGCTGAGAAGGTCCTGGAGTGAAAGAACCCCAACAGATTCAGTGGTAAATAAATTCTAGGGGAGATAAGGGCAGAAAATCAGAAGCCAAGGTTAGTAAAACTCAAAGAAGATGGTCCAAGTCACACCATGAAGGAGTGGAGCTGGTGGAAATGGGTTAGAACTGGAGGCAGAGAAGTCGCTCCCAGAAGCTGTCCTCTGACCTCTGCAGGCATACCATGGCATGTGTGTACCACAAATACACAAACACACACAAATGAAAATGTAATACACAAACATAAGTTTTTAAAAAGTAGTGACTGTAAGGCACAGTGGTGCCTTTAAACCCTGCATTGGGAGACAGAGGCAGGTGGATATCTGTGAGTTTGATGACAGTTTGATCTACATGGCAAGTTTCAGGAAAACCAGGGCTACATTGAGAGACCCTGTATCAAACAAACAAACAAATCATAAAATAAAACGTTATTGTGATGTGATGGTGGTGGTGGCACACCCCTTTAATCCCAGCACTTGGGGCAAAGGTAGGCGGATCTCTGTGAGTTCAAAACCAGCCTGGTCTACAGAGTGAGTTTCAGGACAACCAGGGTTACACAGAGAAACCCTGTCTTGAAAAACCAAAATAATAATAATAATAATAACAACAACAACAACAACTAGTGATTGTTAAGGAGTTTTACCAGTTTTTCTATGTGTTGGTTTCAGATCTACTTATTTTTAAAAATTAAATTAAAGACTAAACAACTAATTTTTTTCAAACAGTACAGGAAATCATTGAACTAATTATTCCCTTCATACGTTCTCATCACTTGGTCTCCTGGTTTCTCCTGCAACGTGTCATTGAAGTATCAAAGAAAAAGATGAGATCAGAAAAGTTCAGGTAACAGAGCACAGTCAAGGAAGTCAGTTAGAATACAAATGCTTTTATTAAACAATCTATTAAATGGGTCGGTTGAGAATCGCCCCCAGCGTGACCAGGGTCAAGAGCGAAAACTGAAGCGTGATCTTTTAGGCACTGCGCTGTGATGTTGTCTGTCCTGAAATTGTGTATTTTTAGATGCTTACCCTTTGCATACTTGAGATGGCACTTACCAAAGTGTGAACATCTCCCTCCTGGAGGGCGAGATCCCGTTTGGTGATGAGATGATTCCGTTCTCCTTGTCCGGTGGTTGTGTCATTCTTTTCGGGTGTCTGCAAAGATGAGAGAGACATAGATTGCATTGTAAGACGGTGGTTAAACAATAGCGGGGAAACAATGACATATGGACATTGATATGTTAGTATTAGATATGGTTAACATACAGTCTATGAAAATGTGGTCCAAAAGAAAATTTACCTCTTAATGGTTAGTGAACAGGAAAGACAGAAAATAAAAGATCAAAGTCATCAATGTACCCTACAAGTTTATTAAAGTTCCCTCTTCCTACGCATTGCTCTTCCCCATGCATCCCTAAAGGGGAACCGAGAGCAACACTGAAAGAGCCTGAGACTCTACAGTGCAACTGTGATGAGCGTCCTTAGGAGCTTTGAGTTTAATTGGTTTGGGGTTTTGGAAACAGAATATTACTATACAGAAGAGAGTGGCCTTGAGCACAAAATGTAATCCCAGATACTCAAGCTAGTTATGGGATTACAGGTATGAGCCGTCAAGCCTGGTTTATTTTTATTTATTCCCTGAACTTTCCGTAGACTATATACAACATAATATTCTACTGTAAATATATGTTCTAGAACAAATATTACTATCACCAAAAATATATAAAATTCTATATCATTTTCCTAGACCCTGTTAATCAAGAGTCCCAAGTAAAATGGTATCATATTATTCGTAAGACAGAAATTCCAACAATAAAATAGTATTTAATATATTTAATAAACTGAGATGCAGTGGGCCATGGTCAAGAATAACTCCTGAGGCTTCCAGAACACTCATAAAAAATACGGTTCGCTTTGATTTCACAGAATTGATTCTTACCTATTACATAAATTTAGTATACTAGTTTTGAACTAAAATACTTTTTGCAGAGTTCATACATTAAAATAGCTGTTTGTATTTCGTGTGTTTCATTTATCGATTCAGAGAGAAAACGCACTACCTTAATTCTCAAAGGGTTGATCTCTGTGTCCGAGGTACAGTTCATTGGCCCGTCAATGTCATAATGAAGGATATACAGCAAAGTGTTGTTGTTGTATTTGTAAGGCCACTGGAGATTTAGGATTGCCTTGCTGAACGAACTTGGACCATTGTTTCTTAGCTAATAAGAAAAAGGAAATGTAAGCACTTTGGACAAAGATGAGACCTATTTTCCTTCCACCAAGTTATCACTAGAAATCATATCAACAATGGGATCTGAAGAGCAGCCGTTTCTACCGCTGGGATCTAATCGTGACCTCTGTGCACAATAGTCAAACAATGTTTATCTCAAGTGCAGAAAGATCTACCAGGATGAAAAGGTCAGAAGGCAGACTTAATAATCTTTGTATAGACAATAAAATGGCTTAATTACAGGCATTTCCAGCTTTTAATCAGAACTTCAAAAGGCTGTGGAGCATACACGAGGATTATCTCTTTCATTCAGAAAGAGTTGGTTTCGCTTTCTTTAAACACATAAAGTTATTTGTCTATAAAAACGAACTTACAAACAGTACTTTTGGTATAAGTTCAAACTATGCAAACTCTACATAAAAATCGTACAGGATTGCTTTTAAAACACGTTTAGCTGCTCTCTCCCTCACCCCCGCCCCCACTTTGCCAACTTTCTAGTGGGTCGGAGAGCTACAAACCTCGTAGATGTGCTGAACAACAGGCCCAACGTCCTCTTCTGTCTCAGGGTTTTCCTTGTACTCCCAGTTTGGAATTGGGAGAAAGATATGATCAGGACTTGAGACTCTAAACAATGACCAAAGAAAACCTACCATGAATATCAAACAACATAACCAGTTCTTTTCCCTAAGTGTTCTATATTCAGTGGAATAAAATCAGACCTAATTATAAAAAGCCTCAAAGGAAAGGCTTGTTAATGAACAAGCTTTTTTCTTTCTTTTTTATTGTTTTTATTGATCTATAATTTTTTTTCTCTGTTCCCCTCCCTTTCCCCCCTTCAACCTTCTCCCATGGTCCCCATGTTCCCAATTTACTCAGGAGATCTTGTCTTTTTCTACTTTCCATGTAGATTAGATCCATGTATCTCTCTCTTAGGGGTCTCATTGTTGTCTAAGTTCTCTGGGATTATGAATTGTAGACTGGTCTTTCTTCCCTTTATGTCTAAAAGCCACTTATGAGTGAGTACATATGACATTTGTCTTTCTGGGTCTGGGTTACCTCACTCAATATGTTTTCTAAGTCCATTCATTTGCCTGAACAAGCTTTGTATGCATAAAATCTACTGTTCTTAAATCAAACTGCATCAAAACAACTGGCTGTGAAAGCCAATCAACGTATTTTAAGGTTGCTGTGTTTGTGCCTCCTGGAGCACCTTCAGGGTCTCATCTCTGCCGAGTCTACTGCCCTGGGAAGCCAGCACTAAGTGGGAGTGGCTGCCCATAGGAAGCCAGGGTCCAGCAGCTACATTTCAGAAGCAATCACAATGACGTAATAGTCAACTGGAGGCTCACACTTACCCTCTTATCTCAACAGCAGCCAAAACGGCAAGGTCAACTTTATAAGACACAACAGGGCTTACATTGTCAAAAGAATTAGAGCTGAAAAAGAAGGGGAAAACAAACACACTCAGGACTGAATCGGGCACATTTATCATCAAAGCCATAAAAGGGAAAACTCAGGGGAACGAAAACTACACAATCCAAGGCGGCACAGAAACTGAAGCCCTACTGATCAAGTGATTATTTTAATTACATGCAATTCAAAGCTGAAGATAATTTTTATTTCCTAATGCTTAATTTGTCTTATAAACTCAAATTAGCAATATAGCCATTTGCTTAATTAAATACTGATTAAAGAATCTTATAATAAAGTACTGAAATTTTAATCTATGTTATTCCATCTTTAAAGGGTAGTATGTAATGTATATTTATAAGGAAACATGGTTATTTTATCCTAATACATTGTTTTTCATACCTTTGGATTTTCAGGTCAAATTTCACAGAGGTATCCATTTCTGATTGCTGGTGCACGCTAAAACGGAGGCCAGCAAACAGCTGGAGAGGGGAAGGTAATGATGAATAATTAATGCCTCATTTAAATCAGAAACTTCAAATCTGACATCCACATACAAAGGTGTATTCCAAAATATGCTTCTGACGAGGTTACAGTAAAAGTGAACAAAAATAATTACATCTCATTTTCCACTGAGGTCATGATGGAGGCTATTTAACAATTATTAATTGCAGCCATACCTACCTCCAACAATAACCACCTTTCTAAAAATTTCCGTGTTTATTGTTGCAATGAAAGCCTGCAACTGAGTCCCAAGACTGCCTGTATATATAAAGCTGAACTAACCTGAGTGAAGAAGCCAGACAGGGAACACTGGAGGGTTAGTCAGAGCGCAGCATTAAAGGAGTTGGACTAAAAGCAGAAAGTCTCTCCTCACACCTCCCACTGTCTCCTCCCCAGCTCCTCACAGGCTGGGCCCTGAGGCGGAATACAGAATGATTTTAAAAACTACTGAACTGAAGGTATGAGATAGCAGGCTTCCTGGGGACCACATAGATGGCATGGAAAAATGGCACCTCCATGGTGCTATACTCATGTTACAAAGCCTGCAGCTGGCTACTTAGAAAAGCCAAGACCTAAAGGGCCTCTGAGCTAGAAAACCAGAGAATGAGAAAATCAAAAGCTCTTCCCCAGAGAGCATCTACCCAGGATAACGAATGCCTGTGGAAACACGCTCAGAGAAGAAGGATGCCACGTTTAGACCAGCCACGTTTAGACCATGCAGAAGGTCTGCACATAACTGCCATCAGTGTGCCGCTCAGCGCGTCTGCCTGGAGAGCATCCCATGTACAGGCCTGCTTTCCTCAGTACCGTGACACACAAACCCTGCTTCCCTTCTGCAGGACTTGGGGAAAACCTCCGTGGGCGCTTGGCTTCCTGCTCGATAGTACCCTGCTCCCCATCAGAAGAGGATGCCTCACCCAACTAAGTTTCTCCTCCTTGGATGATATAAGGCTTTAAGTTAGTAAGAGGACACCATCTCACCTAAGAGTAACATGCCTCGGTGTCTGCCAAGGCTCCAGAGACACCCTGGCTCAAAATACTAAAAGTATAAAATTTTAGTCCTTAGTTTAAATCGGGTTTCCTTCTATTTACCAGATTTAAGGCAGTGTGAAGAGACGTTTACGGCAGAGGGTACAGCTCCACCTATAATGCTAACATCCTAGTTAAGCTGAGCAGAACTCTGCTAAAAACTAAACTCTAAATCAAAACGAATTTAAAGATACTTCTCTGAGGGCAAGTGAAATGGCTCAGTGGGTAAAGGCACTTGTTACCAAACCTGAAGACCTGAGTTCAGTTCCCAGGTCTGTATACCATGTTGGAAGAAGAGAATCAACTCCTAAACTTTGCCCTCTGACTTCCACAGTGTGTGTAGCATACAAGCATACATGTGTAGGCATAACACAAATACACACAATAAAGATAGGTAGGTAGATAGATAGATAGATAGATAGATAGATAGGTACATAGATAGATGATAGGTAGATAGGTAGGTAAGTAGGTAGATAGATGATAGGTAGATAGATGATAGATAGGTAGATAGATAGATGATAGATAGGTAGATATATAAATAGATGATAGATAGATAGATAGATAGATAGATAGATAGATAGATAGATAGATAGATAGATAGATGATAGATAGGTACATAGATAGATGATAGGTAGATAGGTAGGTAAGTAGGTAGATAGATGATAGGTAGATAGATGATAGATAGGTAGATAGATAGATGATAGATAGGTAGATATATAAATAGATGATAGATAGATAGATAGATAGATAGATAGATAGATAGATAGATAGATAGATAGATAGATGATAGATAGGTACATAGATAGATGATAGGTAGATAGGTAGGTAAGTAGGTAGATAGATAGACGATAGATAGGTAGATATATAAATAGATAGATGATAGATAGATAGATAGATAGATAGATACATAAAATTAAAGATACTGCCTAGAGCCACCATGGTGGTTCCAAGCCTCTTGTATTACAGCATTTCGGGAAAGGAAGAACTTGAGTTTGTGGTCATGCTGAGTTTACATTCCTATCTTAAAAACACAAACAATTCGGGTGGTGGTGCACACCTTTAATCCCTGCACTCGGAAGGCAGAGGTGATCAGATCCCTGAGTTCGAGGCCAGTCTGGTCTAGAGTGTTAGTTCCAGGACAGCCAGAGTAAACAGAGAAACACTCTCTCAAAAGATTAAAAAAAAAAAAAAAGGAAGAAAGAAAGGAAGAAAGAAAAACACAAACAGCAAAACTCAGGGCTTTGATGTAGCTCAGCAGTGCAACATTTTCCAAGCGTGTTCAAGGTCCTGTGCTACGTCCTTAGCAACAATAATGAAGAAAAACCCAACATATCTTGAAATTACTATAAACAAACCTAAAGAAAAATTATTTATAGGACGAAATATTTATATTCTACTTATAAGGAGAAAACTCAATAGAATTAAGTTGCCTTACTTGAGTTCCAGCCTTCATCGGGTTGCCAAGATCACACACCACCTGCCGGGTTTGGTTTTCTGTCTTAAATGCACAGGAGAGTCTTGCTAGGGCCTTTACAGACAAAAAAGAAAATAAAGAGAAGTGGGGTTGGGGAAAGTAGAAAGAAAATAATAGTCAAAAAAAGTCGAAACTACAAAGTTCATATTCAATACTGTGTATATATTTAAATTCCTTTTTTTATGAAGCAAATAAATCCATTTGAGCAAGTAGAAAAGAAAACGGGAGCTGTGGAAAACTGCACTGTGTAAACGTACGGGCGTCAGAAAGCTCCCTGGAGGACTCGGATTCTGACCATAGCGCCTCTGACTAGAAATGCAATGTGCAGGTTTAGAGACCTTATCTAGCTGACCTCATGTCTCAGATGCTTGGCTGGCAAACCTAGTAATTCATATCAATTTATTATTCAAAGTATTGGCCTGAAAGGAATTATTTAAGATATGCACTCTATTGCCCCGTCATTTAGTCTTAGAATGGCTAGGCTTGGGCTTCACTGACTAGGGACTACCCCATAAATGTTAAAAAGACTGTGCTCTGGGTTTCCGAGAGGCGGCTTGCTCACTTCATTGTTCCTGACAACCCCGATGAAATCAGCCTGCGGCGGGATAGAGACGATGAGCTCCGCTTCGTAGGCGCCCTCCCCCTGGTTCTGCGCCTTCACGGTCAGGGTCAGAGGGTTGTCGTCCCCGATGTAGAGCTTCTTCTGATCACTGCAAGTTAATTCAAATCCAACAGTGAAGAAAGACTACATGGGGAGCGTGCGACTGTTCAAAGAAGCGGGAGCTAAGACACCGCACTGACATCCTGCCCTGTCTCTCCACAGCTCAAGAGAAACCCGAAACCAGCGCGCTGCACGCCCAGTAAGTCTCTGGGACTGAATGCTGAGGCCAGTCACAAACCACTGCTGTCCACAGGCAGTGACCACAGTCACGTTACATCTGGGCGTGTGCTTTTACTAAACGGTGAACTAGTCTTTCGTCCTAATCCCCACGACAATCTTCCCCGTGTCGTCTCAAGAGGCAAGGACATCCCTCAGTTCAGGCCATGCCCACACTGAAGCAGATCGAGGCAATTAGTAGGGGCTCAAGGCACAACCAAACCTAATTGTCATAAATCTGCCCAGCCAGGCACCTAACGAAAACACATTGGGTATTTATTTTAACTGTGGTATTAATTGTTTTATTGTGAAGAAAATCATGCATTATTCTTTACTGGTAGTTTTTCTCCTTAAAAACATTAGCATTTTTAATAGAAATTTAAATGCTTTTCCATTTAACTTTCTTATATTTCATATTTACTGTTTGGAGTAAAACTTACCTGTCTACAGAAACTTCCAGTTTAGGCTTACAGACATTGTCTTCCCCACAGTCAAGTAGAATATGAGCCTAAAAGAAAAATATTTTACTATTTTCTATGTGGATTCTGGCCACCCATCTTTAAACATGGAGTGCAGGAAATAAAGAATAAGGGGAAAAAATAGAAGTGACAAGAATTTTGTATATTTCAGATCAGCTGTTAACATTTTGGAGTGAAATCTGGTACAAGAAAGGAGGGTTCGTTTTACTGTGCCCCTGTCTGAACTGGATGAACTGAGACAAAATAACTCTTCATTCGGACAATGGCCTCCGTTGCTATCACAGAAACTGGCTGCAAGCATCAAGTAAGGAGAAAGTGGTCAAATGAGCCCAGAATGTACAAACCCATTGGGAAAGAAAAGAAGAAACCAGTAGTAAAATGATAAACCTGACGAAAATAGCAAATAGTCTAAACTTGGTTTTGGTTAGTTTTTTTGTTGTTGTTTTGTTTTTGTTTTGAATTTTTTGTTTTTTGTTTTTTTTTTTTTAAATCTGGCCAAGGGAATGTGCCATAAAGAACAGTGTGAAAAAAAAAAAAAACTCAAAAGAAAGACTGCAAGAACATAGGTCTTGGCCAGAGGCATAGAAGGAACAAAAACAAGGGGGAGGAAAATAACGGCAAAGTCATTCTTGGTTTATTTGTTGCTATTTTAGTGAGACTTTGTCTCAAAAAATAGTAACAATAATGATAAAGATCTTTAAAATAAATCTAAGACTATAGAGAAAAAACAATTAGAGCCCACATATCAAAACACATATTATCATGCACAAGGAAAACGTTACTTCTGAATAAACTACCACACAGAGAAGCTTGTGCATCCAAAGAACCATCGGTACAACATCCACCCACCCCAAATATCAACTGTGAACACAGAACCATGTTCACAAGTCTATTTCTCCTCTGGTTTCTTTCTTTTATTTTTTAAGTTTTTTGAGAGAGGATTTCTCTGTTGTCTGGCTCTCCTGGAACTAGCTCTTGTAGACCAGGTTGGCCTCGAACTCACAAAGATCCACCTGTTTCTGCCTCCCAAGTGCTGGGATTAAAGGTGTGTACCACCATTGACAGACTTTCACTGGTTTCTTTAGTTAAAATCTACCAACATATAAAAAAACAACCCCTTATGGTATTTAAGAACACAAACTGTAAAACCTTAACAAAAGATCAAAGAATGAGATAAAAATAAATTGGGAAGTGTTGTTACCTGCCGACTGACATTGGCAGGAGTGAACTGGTTCAGAATGGGTTGCAAGCCTGTATTGTCGGCAGCTGTCCTCTGGTCCAACCGATACTCCATAAAAATAGTGATGGGAGTGAGTTTGTCTCTAAATTCAGATTCATCCTGAAAGAAAAGGGCTTCACGTTAAAGAGGACACCAACCCAAACTACTTGGAGAAACCCACAGCTCCAGAGGAGCCACAAAACCAGCCGAATTCATCATTAGAACTTTCAATTCTAACCTCTGGACCATTGTGGCAACTGTAGTAAGCATGACGTGAAACTCACGTGTCTGTCCAGTAAGAACTATTCAGCAGGTTTTGTTTCCTAATCTAAAACTTGACTCCCAAAAATACCTAAGAAGCATGTTAATTGTCAACCCAAGTTCTCCGGGGAAACCACACGTGTACAGCAGCCTGCCAAGAGCTGACCTCTGCCAATTAGGAGGAGATGTAATAGTGTAGACTGAGAACTGGGGTTGTCATAAATATCAACTCTTAGCTATAAACCTCGGCATCCGACTCACTTCTGTGACTGCTAGATGAAACAATTGGAATTCAACTGTGAGCCAGTGGACTCCCAACTCCAGCAACCCAAGAACAAGATAAAGATCTACATCTTGAAGATGTTCCTCCCTTATTAAAGATGAAAACTGGACTCTACAGAAGATATTACACTGCCCTTTTTATCTCACAGATGGGATGGCCCGGACAACCTCCCTTTATTCTGTGTCTGTAAAAACATACACAACCCCACCTAGACTCTGCTCCAGGGGAGGAGGCTTCCAGGCCATGGTCACCCACATTCCCAGAACACATTATTTTCTTGTCTTCTTTTAAAGGGAGCTGTGATTTTATGTCCCCACGTAAAGTTAGCACTCAGGCAACTGCCCAGCATAGAAACAGGACACTAAAGCGGCTTTACGTCATCCAGCTCCTTCCTTTCCCTTTCCACCTTCCCTTCCCATCTCAGCTAAGAGCTGATGAAATTCAGTTTGCCAGTCCCTACGTGCTCTATCGACACAGCTGTTTCCAAGCTGGTCTCAACATATTTTATGGCCTATTATAATGGCCGATATTGATATACCTGATTTGCTGGTGCCTCATTTTATATAGATCTGATAAACACTGCAAAAGCACTGACAACAGTGTACTCCTCATTTCTCTTTCTCTTTTGACTAACTGGAAATAAGCTCACACATAATCTGTGATTTTCTTTCGATTTAACACTTTGAGCCTCATCCGTATCTCCAAGATGAATCCACACTGCACATTAATAGGTTATCATATGACAGTTTCCATTCTTCTGTCTAAAACTCCTTGAGTGATTTGGATTTGGTTTTGTTGCAATGATGAATCTTATAAATGGTGACGAGATTCACCAGTTTCTGTGTCACCATGCTATTCATTTTCCCAAATCTTCCTAACTACTAAAGGGTCATCGGCCAAGAGTGGATTTCCATCCCTCACACCAGGACTAGGGAGCAGACACTGGAAGGCTTCAATTAAATTTAAATTTGGATCTGTTCACATTCCTGACTTAAGATGCTTGCCTCTCCGGTCTCTTAAGTCCTGAATGCTTCTTCAGATCAGAGGGCTTTGCTTGCTTGTTTGTTTGTTTCTTGCAGCTAAGTAAGATGCTCAGGTGTTTTCCCTTCCTTATTTATGTGAAATGTTCTTCTAAATTCTAAGGTCTTATGCTCCTTTGGGTAAAGATTTCTTTTTTTTTAATATTTATTTATTTATTATGTATACAATATTCTGACTGTGTGTATGTCTGCAGGCCAGAAGAGGGCACTAGACCTCATTACAGATGGTTGTGAGCCACCATGTGGTTGCTGGGAATTGAACTCAGGACCTTTGGAAGAGCAGGCAATGCTCTTAACCACTGAGCCATCTCTCCAGCCCTGGGTAAAGATTTCTTAGGGGCACTTGGGCTGTGGAAGCAGGACAGTCATGGACTCAAGGTGATCCTCAGCTACAAAGTAAGTTCAAGGCCAACCTAAATGACAGGAGACACTGTCTCAAAAACAAACAAAACCCCAAAACTATTTTCAATGAAAGTTTCACTATTAAAATAACAATAGAATCACTCATATAAAGATATGAGTATATTATGAATATATATATAATCATTATATGAGTATATATAATATAAAGATATGAGTTATCCTATAGCTATTGGTTCCTCATAGTTTCTTTTTTGTTTTGTTTTGTTTTGTTTTGTTTTTCAGACTGGGTTTCTCTGTGTGTAGCTTTGGAGCCTGTCCTGGAACTTGTTCTGTAGACCAGGCTGGCCTTGAACTGATAGAGATCCACCTGCCTCTACCTCTGCCTCCCAAGTGCTTGGATTAAAAAGTGCGCCACCACCACCCATCCCAGTTTTTCATATCTTCTTATGGCAGGTGTGTTACGTGTGTCTAAGATTCCTATATGTTGGTACAGAGTCATTCAAGAATTTCTGTAATTTCAGTCTCAATTTTATCTATCACTATGTCCCTTTTAAATTTCAAATTTTAGGTAGGTGTTCATTTTTGCAAATTTATCAAACATTTCACACAAATTAAATAGCACTTAAAGTACACATATGTTTTTCCCTATATTCTACTTCCACAATAGTCCGTTGTGACATATTTTCAAGACAGATAAAAATAAATTTCTGTTGTGATCACTTTCACCAAAGACCACATTTCTGGTGTTTTTTTTTTTTTTCTTCAGAAAAATCACTTTTCAGCCAATTTTTCAATTACTGATTTCTGAAGTGGTTTAGATATGAAGTGTCCACCACAGGTCTATGTGGCACAGGCTTTGGTGAAACAGGGAGGTGACAGAAGCTTTCAGAAGTAAGCCTAAGGGCTGGAGGGATGGTTCGGTATTAAGAGCATTGGCTGCTCTTCCGGGGGACCGGGGTTCAATCCCCAGCAACCACATGGTGGCTCACAACCATCTGTAACTTCAGGTCCAGGAACCTGATGCCCTCTTCTGAGCACCACAGGCACCAGGCGAGCAGTTGGTACACAGTCACTTGTAGAGGGAAAACACCCAAACACATGAACTTTTTAAACAGTCAGCCTAGCAGGAGATCTTACCATTTGGGATATGCCTTTGAAGGGATTGTAAGAAGCTGGCTGCTTTTCTCTTTACTACCTGGCCATGAAACGTGAAGGGGTTTTTGGTTGTTGTTTGTCTTTTTCTAAAAATAAATTTTATGGGGCTGGAAAATGGCTCCTTAAAGAACACTGAAGCCTCGAATTCAGTTCCCAGCACCCACATGGCAACTCACAGGAGTGTGTGGCTACAGTTCCAGAGGATTTGGTGCTTCCACGGCACCAGGCACATGCACATACACATACGTGCAAGTAAAACAATCATATGTAATAAATAAAAAAAACCCAGAGAGATAGATAGATAGACAGACAGATAGATGATAGATACATAGATGATAGACAGATAGATGATAGACAGATAGAAAGATAGATGATAGATAGATAGATAGATAGATAGATAGATAGATAGATAGATAGATAGATGAGATTCCTGCTTGGTTGAACTTCACCTGGTCTCCAAACTGAACTACCCCTATACAAGAAGCTTGCACTCTTTCATGTTGGAGTCATGATGTATCTCTGTACCAGGAACCTTCCACATCAGGCAAGAATCAATTGAGTCTCAAACTTCACGAGGTTCCCAGGCAAATCCCAATCCCTGGCTGATGTCTACAGTCAAAACTAGCCCTGCTTTGGACTCTGTCCCTTGCCTCAAACTAGACTCCCATGATAGCTCACGATTCAGATTTCAAATTTAGTCACTGGGGACCTTTGGTGGATGGCTTACTTTTTGGACATTGGAGAGAGTCCAGCAATATTTAATAAGCAAGTCTTTTCATGACTCGTTCCATCATAGAAGGCCTCCTCAAGCACCTGCCTGACAGGAACAAACCATATCCGCTGAGCTTTGACACTCTCGGGCACGTTTCTCTGGATTTCTCATTCTGGCTGACCACCGTTTTCAGGAAGGAAAAGCCGTACGCACGCGACAGAGAAGCCCGCGGCGCAGAGAGCGTTGCTTACCCACAGGTAGGCCACCAGCTCCTCGCATTGCATCTGTCCCCCCTTGAACACGGTCATGTTCTTGGAGTGCCCTGGGGACCTGTTATGGAGAAACAGTGCTCGTCGGATTGCTCCCTTTTGCTTGAGTTTATCCAAAAGAAGCTCCACCTGGAAGTCTATACAAACCAAAGCATTTATAACCAACACATTCCTCGGGGGCAGGTCCCTGTCCTAGCCACCTAGAGTCCCCCTCAAAGCAGAGATACCCATTTCTGAAAAGTAAGTCACTTCTAAAAACTCATTAAAACGCCCAAGCACGGTGATGAGAAAGCAAGGAATTAATGGCAGAAAATAGTAAGTACTTCACTTGTTCCCCCAGAAGTGTCACACATAATGGCAGTGGCAGAAACGAAACCAGCTTCTCAGAAGGGGGGAAAATGGGACTTTTAATTTAAGCTAAGGGAAGGACATCGTGGAACAGAATAGACTAAGACTTCTCCACGGGTGAGGGTGCAGATTGGTAGTGGAATGCAGGCACACACCACGCACACCTCTTCCTGCCCCTTTTGATAAGAGGTATTGATTAATGTGCATCCAGTCATGATACTGAGTACTGTGAACCGTCTATATCACTTACAATGGTGTTTCCCATGAAGCTGCCCCTTACAGTGACAGCTGACTATGTCCTAACTGAAGCATGTGGCCAAAGAAAACCGAATGGGTTAAGAATCGTTTAAAATATATGGGCAATTGTTAAAATTACTGCCTTCTAGTATTTATTTATTTAAGCAGTTTCTTCTTTTCTTTTCTTTTTTCTCTTTTTTCTTTTTTGTAAAGACAGGGCCTCTCTGTATAACCGTTCCAGATGCCTGGAACTCACTCTGTAGACCAGGCTGGCTTCAAACTCACAGAGATCCTCCTGCTTCTGCCTCCAGAGTGCTGGAATTAAAGGCGTGTGCCACCACCACCTGGCTATACTACAATTTTTTTTTTTTTTTTTGAATCTCCAGTCTCTTTGTAAGTGTCTTTAAATGTTTAAGTCTAATTCAGGTATATCCCCTTTCTGGTCTTCACAGCTACATTGCCCTATCCGTGGGGCTTTTCAAACTCGGTGAGTTCACTCCACTGCAGGCTTCTCGGGGTTGTTTCCAGGTGGGAAAGAGTCCCAGGGTCACCCCACCCCCTGCTCTCTCACGTCCTGGAGGTCTCTCCATAAATCCGGTCTTCCGGTGAGGTCCAGCTTGCTGTCCTCTGACGTTCACACCGACACCACTCAGCTCTTCAGCCCTCTTCTCCACCCTATTCCTACTCGCTACAAGTGACCACACCATCCACTCAACGGGAAAACCTTGCTCTCAGGACCACTTCCGCCATTTCGGCATAGAAGGGGTGGTGTCGGCTGCACACACTAAATGCAGTCACACAAACCTTTCCCCCTTTCTAAGACAAAAGCCTTCCCCAGTTCACAGCAGAGCGCAGACTTGTACAAAGTGGAATCTCCCGCGAGCCTCATCGACCCCACGTCCTCAGATGCTCAACGTTCTAAATGCTCACCGTGTCTAGTCGCAAACACACGGCATCTGAACTGCCCGGCAGCTTCTTGCCGAAGAAAGTAATTATATATAATCTTGTTTCCTAAATGTCTTCCGAGTGAAGACGCAGATTAAGCCAATGAGGACAACTGCTTCAGGAACTGTCCTGTGGGCCCTGAAACACAACCCTGTACCTGTAGCGCCATGAGCTCACTGACTCTGCCCAAGATACTCACTGAGCCTCTTCGGAAGAGTTCCTTTGCCGTCCGCCTTTAAGCAGAACCTGACATTAAAACTGCAAGAAAAAAAAAGTTTTTAAATATAAATTCTATGATCTAATTTAGGTCCAGTCCTGCAGCCCACCCGAGTTCACTTGTCTAATGCAATCAGCCCTCGGTGTCCCAACCGTCCCCTCCCAGAGACCAAAACCAACTGCATTCACAGAAACGGCCTCAGTGATACTTCAGTCCTGCCGCCTAACTCTGTGTTGCGGTGCAGTGACGGAGGTATTCATCTTAATCACAACTAGTACATAACGAAGATCCTTACCAGGAAACTTTGAGAGTTGTCCCAGGCAATGGGCAGATTTTATTTTCTTGATTTAAAATGCTAGGGTACACTTCAAGGCCGGCATTTACGGTGACAACGGGCCTGGCTCTAGTTTTAAGTTTAAAAAGAAAGAGAGAGAGAAAGAGCGAGAGAGAAAAAGAAAAAAGAAAAAGAGAGGAGGAAGAGGAAAAAAGAGCAAGAAATATTATTTAAAAATAGACTGATTAAAATTCTCATTCACCACAGATGCAGTTCAAGCCCATCACTGCCGGCAATAACAACAATTGTACTAACCAAAATGACCCACACCTGACCTAATTCAGTCCTGCATCCTGGCAATCGCTCAGTTCCAGGCAAGAGCGACAACTGGTCAGCCTCTCTGAATTCAGACAATAAAGCACAACGATTACTAGCTGTAGGACATCCAGCTAATTAGAGGAGACACAGGGAGGAACGTGAGCGTCACAAACCCACCTGAGCTGACAGGCGGAATGCCTACAGAGCACACATACAGCCAAGTGTGGGGCTTCTTCACGAATAGAATCTTCACAGTGTGGCACACACAAGTGTACTGGATGTGCTTTTAAACACCCGTTTTTATTATTTTAATTATGGGGGTGAGCGCAGATGCATGCAGAGGCCAGAAAAGGCCATCAGAACCCGTGGAGATGGAGTCACAGGCCATAATGAGCTGCATGATATGGGCACTAGGAACTGAACTGGGGTCTTCTGCAAGAGCAGTACCTGCTCCGAATTGCTTTCTCCTTTTTAAAAAATTTATTTGTATTTTATGAACATTGGTATTTTGCCTGCACTTATGTCTATAAGAAGTTGTCCGATTCCCTGGAACTGAGTTGTGAGCCACTATGTGGGTGCTGGGACTTGAACCCAGGTCCTCTGGAGGAGCAGTCAATGTTCTTAACCGCTAAGCCATCTCTCCAACCCGTGTCCACCTTCTCAGTTATTTGAATATTTACCATATCCCAAGTGTTTCTTTATGAACAATAAGTTTTTAAACTATAACAATAAACTAAAATATACAATGAGCATTCCTATAATCTGAAAACTCCAAACCTAAATGCTATAGACTCTCAAACCTAAAAAGTTTTGAGCACCAACAAGATGCTTAGAAACGTGTTGGACTGTTTCAAGTTCTGGATTTTTAGATTAAAATTGCCTAGCTGGCAAGTCTCTACAGATACTTCAAAACGCATACAACTCCACAATCCAAAACACTTCTGGTCTCAAGCATTTCAAACAAGGGATCTTCAACCCATAAATATAATTTTGCAAATTTACGATGCACAACTCATAAGTGTTATAATAAAAAAAATAGTGAGGTCAGGTCAATGAAACTGCTTCAAATGATAAATTCTAGAAATCTGTAAGTTTGTTCTCCATGGCTATGAAGAAGCTGATGGATCCCAGAACCTTAGCAACTGCAGTGGTAACTTTCTTGCCAAGTGCAGCCCCCCGCAGTGCAGGAAGCTCAACCTAGAAGAGACTGGTGCTCAGAGGCAGAGGAAGGGATGGCATTCCGAACCGAGAGCATGGATGCAGCTCACAAATGAGGATTTACTCACTATTGCTCTCGTTGAAATAAATGTTTTGGTACTTATGACACACCACCTTTATGGCCATAGAACACTGAGATACAAGTTATGTAAACCTCTGTTTTCTTAAATTTATTTCTGTGGGAGTCTGGGGATAGGGCCCAGCACACAAGGCAAGGTCACTCCCTGCTGCTCCTCATACATTCTTGATGACTGATTAAAAACGCAGAAGAATGTCTCCAAACAAAGCTTAAAAGCTAATGAGGAGAACTTCTGAATATTTCTCTAAAAATATCTTTAAAAATCATAGTTCTCTATTCTTTGAGACTTCCTTGAATATATACTATTTGCAGCAAGGCTTGAACAGAAAAATAATTTTGTCATTACTTGGAGAAATTAAACTGAAATTCAAAAACGAGTACTTAACTATAATTTTTTTCAAATAATTCAGAATATTCCAGGTATTAAAGAATATGGAACATACCTGTATAAGATAGCTCGATCCACACCAAAAGCTCCTACAACTAAGTCTTGAGAGAACAACAACAAAAAAAAATACGTTAGTAACAAAAGTGGTTTTAAAATATGCATTATTCTATGACATGCTTAATGTTCCTGGGTTTTATTTTCAAAGCCAGGAAATTAAAATTATAATATGCATAGAGAGAAACTAGACAAAAGGATGAATAAACTATCATCCTCAACTAGACTCTCATTCAGGCAGACAAGAATATTTTCAAGGGCTGGAGAGGTGACTCAGTGCCTCAGAGCATGGGCTGCTCTTCCAGACCAGTTCCAGATGTTCTGGTCCAGTCCATCCTGTGCCCTCTTCCGGTCTCTATGGGGAGTGCACACACATGATGCATAGACAAACAGGTAGGCAAACACCCACATACATAAGATAAGAATTAAAAAAAAAAACTAAAAAAATTCAAGTAATCTTTTCAAAGGGTATTTAGTAAAAAGAACAACAATGAGGATGTGTTGTGTGCCCAAAATACACATCCCCCAAAAGACAGCTTTACAGCTAAGCCTCTTCAGTGTGCAATTTCATTATGAAATTACTTTTTCTTTCTCTCTTATTTAAAAATGAAACCCCAAAGAAGCAAATATTCTGTATATAGCAGCAAGCAGAATTCAAAGCAGCCAGGACAAAACGCATTTGTGTTTCACGTAAAACCGGTTTATAATTTGGATAAAATTAAATCAGAGTTCTATCCCACATCATAACCAAATTAAATCTGAGAAGGCGCTCTCAACAGAAAAATACATGAAAAAAACAAAGATGGAGAGATTGAATTTCATCAAAATCTGAAATTTCTGTACATCGTAGATGCTAATATGAGAAATTGGGAAATAATTACAAAAATTAAAGAGATAGTGTCTCAATATTTGAGGCACTGGACAAGGTTTAAAAAATGAATGAAAGGGGAAAAGTACTTCAAACAAGGAGATACTTGAAGTACTTACAAAAGTGAATATACATTATAAAAAATGCTTATCCTCACTAATACCCGAGAACTACCCACTGATATTATTATTCATATATTATAAAGACAAAAGTATTACAAAATGAGAACAAGTGTGGGAAAATGAGCAATTGTTTACTGTCACTGAGTGCTCAGAAGTTGACAAAAGCCATTTTGTCGAGAAAATAAAATTGAAAATTGGCAATCTGTATCAATGGCTTCAAAAGGGGAATGCTTCTTGGGGCTGGAGAGACAGTAAAAGCGTTTGCCAGGCAAACCCAATGACCTGAATTCAGATGGTAAAAAGCATGGACATACTGCAAATGTCTATAATCCTAACATTCTAGGAGAGGAGAGAATCTAAAGATCCCAGGCAAGCTATGCTGCAGCGCACAGAGACCCTGTCTCAAATAAGGTGGAAAGGCAGGAATCAACCAGGTTATACTCTGACCTCCACACAACCTCTCATCCCCTCATGTACCCACAGCCACACAAACAAACAGGCACTACCTCTGTGCATGTGTGTGTGCCTTCAGCCACACAAACAAACAGGCACTACCTCTGTGCATGTGTGTGTGCACCTCAGCCACACATACAGACAAGCACCACTTCTGTGCATGTGTGTGTGCACCCTCAGCCACACAAACAAATAGGCACTACCTCTGTACATGTGTGTGTGCACCCTCAGCCACACATACAAAGAAGCACTACTACAGAGCCTAAACACACACACACACACACGCACACGCACACGCACACACACACAAGAGCACACTGTTGTCAAAATAACAAAAACAGAATTTTGTCCGGAGGAAATATTCAAGGACATACAACAAAATTATACATATGGACATAAGTACCAAAATATCAGGCAAAATAAGAATAATACACAGTTATTTGTTATAATGGGAAACAAAATTCATGTTTTAGAATAAATATTCTTGATATGCAACAAACAGTATATAATGCATGATGCTTTTTTAAAACAAAAACACAGGACTAGAAAGATGGCTCCGCGGTAAAGAACACTGGCTGCTCTTCCTGCAGATCCAGGTTCAATTCTCAGCACCCACATGGTAACCCACAACTGACTCAAGTTCCGACCTCTGCAGGCAAAACACCCATACACACAAAGTCACAAAACCCATATATTATATACTCTTGTATATGTATGCATAAGTGTGTGTATGTGTGTGTGTATGAATGAATAATCTAGTCACGATGCTGTACACCTGCAATCCCAACTCCTCACAAAACAAAGGCAGGAGGACCATGGGTTCTAGGACAGCCTGGGATACATAACAAAGCCTGCCTCAAACAGTCACAAAGTATAGCTGTGTCAGGGGGAATGGAAGGACACATTTGCTATACTAAGCTCTGCATGCACATAGTGCCCTCATGAGCATGCCACTGAACGTGTACACAGAATCCACATCAGCTGTTTCAACAACAAAGGTCATCTGGTTTTTCTAAAGAAAGGATGCATTTTGGTCCTCATCCGTTATAATACTCAAAGGGTACAAGAGTCTGAAGGATGGATGGTCTTACTCTGCAGATTAACCCAGGGGGAACCTTGGCAAGTTACCTTTTGCTTTTCACATCCCCCAAATTGCCTCATTGTTACCTAATTTAACTTACATCTCATAAAATTGCAATTAAGAAAATTTGGTGAAATGGAACTTTTGTTTGTTTTAAATCAGAGTGATTGGTCCAGGCGGCTGGGCTGGTGGCTCCATTAGTAAACTGTTTTACTGCACAAAGTGTGAACACTTGAGTTTGCGTCCCTCAGCACCCAAGCCAGGTATGGTGCTATCCTAGCATGGGGGAGGGGACGGGGAAGACAGGAGCAACCCTAGGGCTTTCTCCACCAGCTTAGCCATATTTATAACCCTAGTGATGGACCCTGTCTCAAAATAGAAAGTGACATAAGGAAACACTAGACATTCCACATGCAGGTACACTCATGCATGCATGCACACATGCACACACGTGCATACACACATGCACATGTGCACGCGCACACCCATCAATCATTGCACCAGCCCATAAAAATACTAGCTTATTAAAACCAAAAATCAATGGACGGTATTTTCAAAACTCAGACTGTGCATTTGGCTTTTTGTTTATTGCTTCTGCATTTTTTCTGATACTTTATTATAAGCTATTGTACACTCCCATCAAATATGGCTGTGTGTCCTTCCTGTCCCTGTTGATGATGCCAGTAAAGGGACTGAAAAGGCCAAGGGCCATGTGTATTTGTAGAAAAGTACCTGGGTATCCATTTTCGTCCACATCTGTGGCTCCTTTCATGGAATAGCCAAAGCTTGGGGGCATACCCTGAGCAGCCCACTGGCCCTCGAGGATTTGAGACGGCACCGAATTCAAGCCTGTTGATCTTCCATTAAAGATATAAACAAGTCCCTTTTTATCTTCACCTCCATACGGAGCAGCAATTGCAATATCTGTGGACAGAGGGAGCAGGGCAGAAAATATGAACAACGACAGGAGAGAGGTAAGTCGGCAAGGACGGCCGGAAGAGATTCTCAGGACTAACATTATCCATACAACCCATCTCAATGACAACTGTTGGCTTGAAGTTCTACAGAGGCAGTCACATGGTCACATGCCTGTAATCCCAACACGCGAAACACAGGAGGATTCTGAGTTCAAGGTCAGCCTGGGCTATAGAGGGAGACTCTGTCCAAAACAGAAAACAACACAAAAAGTGGCATTCTAATTCAAAGAAATACAAGGAAAACTGTGCAAAAATGACATTAATTTGGTGGCATATGTCCTGGGTCTGACCTTGGATAAGAAGAGACTTCAGTTTTCTGGACCTAAACTTGCTTCATCTTAAATCACAGATGGAGGTGAGGATATGAAAACCCTCATCTATACATGGGGATGAGGACAGGAAAACACTCATCTACACACGGGGATGAGGATGTATAAAAACCCTCATCTAAAATTCATTATAATTCTTCTAATTCATGCATGAGTTTTATTGTACAAAATTAAAATATGGTTTATAAACTTCTAAGTTCTGACTTCTTGATTTTGTTCAATTTATACTGAAACAACACGAATATACAAAAATTTTAATTCTTTAAAACAGCCCTAATATGGTACTAAATGGTCATCGTGGCCACTCCTGACTTGAAAATAAATGTAATATACCAACTTCTCCTTTCTCTGATGCTACCAGCCTAGCCATGATGAATATCTCTGTAGCTTACAAGAGGTGCTCTGACCCAGTCACATCAAACTGCTTTGTTATGCCCATGTCACGGGACCCACCACAGAGCTGGTATCAGATGCAAAAGCACCGGGGTTTATTGATTACGAGTTAGCTAACTAGGTCTGCAATCCAACACATCGCCACGGCAGGTGGGGGAGAACGGCCCAGAGCTCTCAGGGTAATGGGTTTTTTTAAAGGGAAAAACTGCAAGCTGGGTAGCACAAGCCTTAGTGTTTCAGGATTGGGTAAAAGCATACAACTTTTGAATTCGTTGGTTGGGGTATAAGGGAATTTCAAAACAGTCAAAACAGCAGTTAATCAGGTACCTACAAGAATGTTTGGAGCAAGCAGATGTAATCATCTGTTGTATGGACACCCTGGTGGGTCACTTTGACCAGGGCAGACACAGTTTCTTGGGAATGTTTGTGACTTTGCTGGGCTGCATTCACCTCCCCACCCCAGTTAGGTCCTGTCTAAAATGGAGTTCTTTCTCAAATGGAGTTTGTTCTGCTCCTTCATCCTTACTGTGCTCAACCACTTTATGCCTCCCTAGTGACATATCCAGAAATATCTGACATGTCTGGAGACCACCATGCCCGGGAATTTCTAAGACACCATGGCAATCACATTCTACTCACAGAGATCAGCCTGCCTCTGCCTTCCAAGTGCTGGGATTAAAGGTGTGCAAAGAAACCAACAATTCTTCTGTCCTTACTAATCTTTTGCAAAAAATCCTTGTAATCTATATTTCATGTCCCTACTTTTTAATCTGTATTTCAGGTTCTGGAAAAAGAGCTGTGTAGTAAAAGCCAACTTTTGGTTTTAAAGGTATTTGTAACTATTGAATTGGGACTACTCTAAAGCAATAGGCTTCAGGATTTTACAGGTGGCCGTGAAAAGACACAGCCTCTTTCCGAGATTCCACAGCCACTATAAAGCTACGTCTATAAAAATATTAGTGGAAACTCAGACCCGAGGCAAGCATTAAGTCATCCTTGTTTTGACAATGAGCCTGGGAGCTACTTTTCACTTGAAGCTAAACGGACAGTAGGGGGCGCTGTCATGCAGCAGGCTGCAGAGGGCTCCCTGGGAATGAAGACTCCTTTCAGAATTTAATAATTTGACGTCCTAGCGCGTGAACATCAAGTTTTGAAAACGTTTACTCATTTCTCAGAAAAACAAAACAAAACAGTTGTTTTCAGATTTGGTGTCAGTTGGGCTTGCCATCTTTCTACAGATGGCATTTTCGGACTTTTTCCATGTGACCCAGAAAATCACTTGGATCTTACCATTGAAACCATCCTGGTCCAGGTCTCCCAGAGGAGCTATGGCACTACCAAATCTGGCAAAAACCTCAAACCCATTCAGCTTCGTGGTTTGGAAGTCTCCCGATGCCCTCTGCAGAGACACTGTGACCTGGCCCACCTCTTGGAGTTTCCCATCAGAGCCGCGGTCCATGAACAGAGGCGCTCCGATAAACACATCTGCATAACTGACAGAAGAGAATGTCCTCACCCACAAGATCAGACTCCATCTGACAGCATTTCTCTTAGTTTTCTATTGCATGTATGCGAATGCTTTGCCTGCATGTATGTCTGTGTGTGTCTGGTGCCCTTTGACGCCAGAAAGGGGCCTTTGGAGCCCTGGAACTGGAGTTAAAATGGTGAAAAGCCACTCTGAGAGTGTCATGGATCAAAACCACACCGTCTGCATGACAAACCAGTGCTCGTACCCAGTGAGCAGACTTCCCAGCCCCCATCAGCACGTTCTTCCTAAAACTCCCTTTCCCACCCCCTTGGCACACCTCGTATGGCACACAGAAACATCGCCCATCACATATAAAATCACATCGCCACAGGTTTTTTTTTTTTAAGATTTACTTATGTATATGAGTGACCCATCTTCATGCACACCAGAAGAAGGAATCAGCTCCCATTACACATGGTTGTGAGCTACCATGTGGTTGCTTGGGAATTGGACTCTAGGCCTCTGGAAGCGCAGCCAGTGCTCTTAACTGCTGAGCCATCTCCCCCACAATGTCCTGTTTTAAGACAGCAGCCCTCAACCTGTGGGTCGCAACTCCAGAGGGTCACACATCATAAATCCTGCAATAAGGTATTTACATTACAGTTCAAGATAGTATCATGGTCGGGGTCACCGCAGCATGTGGGGCTGTATTAAACGTCACAGTATTTGGAAGGTTAAGAACCCCTGCTCTAGAGCTACGGCAAAGCCTAGGGCCAACTAGGAGGCGGTCCCATGTCCATGATGAGGGAGTGTCAGATCCCTTTCTCAGAGTGACAGAAGATTAGCAGGGAGCAGACACAGAAAAAGACTATTTAGCTTTAGTTACGCACGTATAAACACAGAGGAAAAGAGTTTCTGGAAACATTCTTTTAAAACTTACTCATCTCCATTAATGTCAGTGGCAGCAACAGAAAATCCAAAATACGCAGCCATCTGCAGAAAGAGAGGGAACAGAACACTCACACTTCGTCCCACCAGACCCTGCGGATTAACGTCCCTGTCCCATCAGCATAGCTGCTCCCCGTCCCCGTGCAGAGGTTAGGGCTCCAATCTCAGTGACCTGGTCTATTTTACTAACACGCTGACAATTGCTTCATGAGACTTTCTAATGTTTCTAGATTTGTGGGCAAAACATATTTCATGTTCATCATTCCTGAATGTTGACCACGAGATTTCTTATCCTCTCCTCCTCTCCCAAAGCCTAACAGACCCCAGGAAATGAGAAGGTTCCCACCCTGGATACAAAAACTGGGAGGGTTTTTTTTTTTAATCCCTCTCTCTCTCTGTTTATTGTGGAACTTTTTCTTTACTGTTACCGATTTGTAACTTAATTCTCTGAGACACACAAACAGGAATATTATAAAACCTCTATGCTCAGTCAGAATACTTATATTAAACTTAACTAAAGAATTTTTATTGTATAGTGCAATATGTATATATCATCAATAATACACTTATCTGTGTTGTGCCTTTTTAAGCATCTAGTAAAACTAAAGCACATAGGTCATTCTTTTCCTTTCTTATTTTTCCTTTTTTCTTTTCTGATTTTTGAGGCAGAGTTTCTCTGTGTAGCCCTGCCTGTCCTAGAACTCACTCTGTAAACCAGCTAGCCTCAAACTCAAAGATACACCTGCCTCTGTCTCCCGAAAGCAGGGATCAATGGTGTAAGCCACCACACTCAGCTCATAGGACATTCTTTAATGACATAAAAGGGAAACCTTATGCTTTTGTGTATGAACAATTTTATTTTTATTTTTATTTTTAAAAAATAGCAAACAAAGCCGGTGGTGGTGGCACACGCCTTTAATCCCAGCCTTGGGAGGCAGAGGCAAGCTGATCTCTGTGAGTTCGAGGCAAGCCTGGTCTACAAGTGCTTGGTCCAGGACAGGTAGGACTGTTACACAGAGGAACCCTGTCTCAAAAAAAGAAAAAGAAAAACAAACAAACCAAAAAAAAAAAAAAGAAGAAGAAGAAAAAAGAAAAACACGCCAGAAGCCTATGAGATTCTATTTATAGCACTGTAAGTATAGACTCATTATGCCATTTCCACAAAACGCTGACTGACTAAAGCCACAAACTGGAAACAGAAAAGGCAGTGAACTGTGGCTTTGCCACAGACGTAGACGCGGGAGAAAGCAGCGGCAAGAGGGCCCCTCCGCAGCTCTGTCAGGCTCCCCGGCAGATGACGCCAGCATTTTCATTTTCACATTTTCCTCAGGGAGCTTTTTTAAAAAATATTTTTATTGATATTTATTGAGCTCTACATTTTTCTCTGCTCCCTTCCCTGCCTCTTCCCTCTCCCCCTTTAATCTTCCCCCAAGGTCCCCATACTCCCAATTTACTCAGGAGACCTTGTCTTTTTCTACTTTCTACTTCCAATGTAGATTAGATCTATGTATGTCTCTCTTAGTGTCCGCATTGTTGTCTAAATTCTCTGGGATTGTGGTTTGTAGGCTGGTTTTCTTTGCTTATGTTTAAAACCCGCCTATGAGTGAGTACATGTGATAATTGTCTTTCTGTGTCTGGGTTACCTCACTCAAAATAATGTTTTCTGGCTCCATCCATTTTCCTGCAAAATTCAAGATGTCGGTGTTTTTTTTCTGCTGTGTAGTACTCCATTGTGTAAATATACCACATTTTCCTTATCTATTCTTTGGTCGAGGGGCATTTAGGTTGTTTCCAGGTTCTGGCTATGACAAATAAAGTAGCTATGAACATAGTTGAGCACATGTCCTTGTGGCACGATTGAATGCAAGCTGGTACAGCCCCTTTGGATGTCAGTGTGGCGATTTCTCAGAAAATTAGGAAACAACCTTCCTCAAGACCCAGTAATACCACTTTTGGGTATATAATCCAAAGGATGCTCAATCATGCCACAGGGAGCTTTTCTAGTAGAGGTGTGACATTTAATAGCATACCTGTTCGCCAGTAAAGTTGTGTAAAGAGGACATGTTTTTCCCATCATAAATATAAACCTGTGTAGGAAAGCAAAAGTAAATGACATGTAGTAAAACCAATGTATGTGTCGGAGGTCGATGTGTCTTTATCCTTTTCTGAGAAAGACTTTACTAACCCTGGAGCTCCTCCATTGGTGTGCGGACTGACTAGTTAGTTCCAGATCCACCCTCTCCACACCCAGACACACAGCCCAATGGATACAGTGTAACAGACCCAGAGCGCAATGGATACAGTGTAACAGACCCAGAGCGCAATGGATACAGTGTAATGGACCCAGACCCACAGCCCAATGGATACAGTGTAACAGACCCAGATCCACTATCTCCACACCCAGACCCACAGCCCAATGGATACAATGTAGCAGACCAAGACCCACAGCCCAATGGATACAATGTAACAAACCAATACCCACAGACCAATGGATACAGTATAACGGACCTGCTTTTATATGCAGGCCGGATCCAAACAGAGGTCCTCATGGTTGTGAAACCAGAACTCCCCCATCACGGACCCATCTCCCCCTATCCTTGCCTTCAGATGTTTAAGGTATCTTTATCACTCTTACCATTCCCAAAGTCCTCGCTGCTCTTGGAACCCCTGAAACAAAATCTGGGAGAACAATATAAAAGCTTAATTACTCATTTTAAGACAAACATTGGGATTTACAGGTGTAGGTATTCTGCCAGGGTGCTTTAAGTTTTATTAATCCAGTAGAAAACAAAATAGAGATTTTTTTAAAAGTTGATATTGAGTATGAAGCAACCTTTACATTTTAAATTATAAAAACCTAACTTGTAATTCATAAAAACATTATTAAGGAGCTCAAATACACTGGGTGTGGTGGCACTGGGGAGGCAGAGGCAGGCAGATTAAATTCAAGGACAGCCTGGTCGGTGGAGTGAGTTCAAGGACTGTCAGGACCTCACCCAGGCAAGTAAGACATCAAATCACTCGCCATTTTATTAAGCAGGAATAGAAAGATCAAGCTCCGCAGCGACTAAGAAAAGTTGTATTTGCAGTAATGAAAACCACTACAAAGTAAACTGAAATGAACCTGGTGGTTGGGGCCAGAAGCATGACCTATGTGATGTCTGGGATTGCGACACTGACTTCTGAACCAAGGCAAGAAGGAAGGAGGAACAGCCGGCTCCCAGGCTGTGCCCACAAGCCACAGATCAACCCAGAAAGAGGAAAAGCCTCTCATTGCAGACAGGGCTTACCAGGGCCTAGCCAGAGACAGAGAAAGAGCAACAGCCCCACAACCACTGTGCCAGGCAAAACTTGCAGCAGAGACCAGGGGCCATCCCCCACCCCAACCCTTTCTTCCTTCTGTATATTCCCAGTAATGGTTACAAATTGACGAAGTGTTCAGTGTCTTGTGTTTCAAATGCTTAGGTGACAAGGATTAAGGATGGCCCAAAGCATTTGACAAGGATAAAAGGTGGTCCAAACTCTGCCTACCTTCAATGCCATCACCATTAAAGTCTCCGACAGCCACGGAGTAACCTAGACAGGAATGAAAGGCAAGACACCGTGAATCCCCTCGGAGCATCTGAGGCTTCTCTTTCCTCTGGGGTAGAGATTCAAGTACATGTGACAAGCAAGTTTTAAAGTCAGTAAGTCAGTTAAGTACCCAAAATGAAGGCTCCCTGTTAGAAAACTAAACTGAAGGAGAGCTAGAAACCGTAAGTCTGCAGTTTGCCCAAAAGGGACAAGGAATAACAGATTCTTTCAGCCACCAAGTCCTACTTCTGGGGTGTGACTTGTTTCCATAAATAACAAGGTGATTTAAAGGGTAAGAACAGACACTAATAAATCTTGAAACCAAAACCTGTCGTTTCCAAAAAAAAAAAAAAAAGAAAGAAAGAAAAAACTGTGTCTTAAAGTTCAGCAGTCAAAACGCCTAGGCTGGGACACAGCACAGCCCACAGCCGGCAAGCAGCGTGGCCTCTGAGCCTCAGCATCATTACCTATAAAAGGGAGTGGGAATGGAGCTCTCTATAGACTTGTGAAGTTGACAGGAGCAACAGAAAGAAAACAGAAAGAAAAGGAACACTGTGTTCCTAGAACACAGGAATCACGTTTCAGGGTTAGTTATTATTACTAGACATGTCCAAATAAGCGCTTTCTTCCATTTTAATTACTGAATTACAGGCATAGCCTAAACATCCAACACCCATTCAGTGTTGCGTGCCCATCAGTTTTGCATTTACTTACCCAAATAACTGTCATCAAAAATTGCTTGTGCAGCCCGCGTTGCTAACTGATTATTGTATTTGATGCTGTAGACATTGGGGTCATATTTAGATATGATTTCTGCCAGTTGATCCGAAATGAGCTGACCTGGGGGTGGGGGAGCAGACTCGAGTTTGTGAAACAGCCTTCTATGGGAACTTGGGGTACAAACCATGCACGGTCCCTGTGTGGACAAAAGTCCTGCTGGACCTGATTACTTCTGGTGCTTTATTTCATTCTGATGTTTGTGGGGTAGAGTCACACTGTACAGCACAGGCTGGCCTCAAGCTCTCAATTCTTCTGTCCCAGCGTCTGTGTGATGGGCTTATTAAGGTTCACCACCAATCCTGACAAGACGTTAGTTTTTCTGATTATTAGTCTAAAATAACCATAAAACACGCTTGCACATGCATGCGCACGTGCACGCGCACACACACACACACACACACACACACACACACCTGTCTAAAATATTCTCTGTGAATTGAGTCTTTAGTTGTATATTGCAGGCCACCAGGACTTCACTATATTACAGAAGATGCGTCATAAATAAATCAGTGGGACGGTGGGAACGCCCGTCGATCTCCCCTCGCTCCACTGAAGGGCAGAAGGCATGCGTCGTAAGAAGAAAAATAAACCCAGGTTTGTTGGATCTGTCTTAGTATCCCCACCCCAGGGTTGGATGTGGAAGCCCACAGCCCTGCTAAGTTCTCCCTCAGGAAACTGCACACCCATCTTATAAAGGGAAACCATCATACCGTTACGCCTAATGAGAGAGCAACATCCCCTGTTTCCTCATCTGCACTTTAAATGCTGGGTTAGTTGGACAGCACTAAAACTCAACTAAAACCTTCCTAAATTCTGCTCCCAGCCGCTGCATGACTCACAGAAACCCAAGCTTTCCCATCTCAGTTAGCACACCTCACAGACAGGCATGTGTGTTTGATGCCTGGGTTTTCTGGACTCTTCAAATTTTCATTTACTCTTTTTTTTTCAGATATATTTATAATGTATTCAGTGTTCTGGCTACATGTATGTCTGCAGGCCAGCTCTAAACTATAAGATAAAATATACGCAACTTACAATAAAAAGCATTTAAAATGATTTTATATGTTTGCTTTAAATTTACCTTTAAAACTGTTGTTTTCTATCTGGAACATATGCACATTCAATATATGCCATAGAAAGCACAATTTTTTCTAAAAATATTGCATAACAGATAATTTGTACACTTAAGTAATATTTTATATTCCTTTCTTTAATATAATTCAAGATGCTTCATGGGCAAGTGAGTAGCCAAGTATTCGGTTGAAAAATAAGAACCTTACCTTGCCAATAAAAGCTACCAGGACCACCAAGAAGTACTCTGTCAGCCTAGATCAAATCACAGAACAGAGGGAGATGCTTAAAACAATGAGCCTGGACACAGAAATCAGGATGCTAAACATTAGGATATTTACGTATTTTAAATTAACATATTAAAATTAAATAACATGCTGTTAATTCAGCTACCTCAGTTTCAGTAGTATGCATTTACTTTTCCAAGAAATTAAGAACTTAATTATCATTATCAGGAGTGCTAAAGAAACTTAATATCCTCATTTAACATGGCCACATTTTTCCGGGAGATCTTGACTGCCCTGTACATGTGGAGGACATCCTGGCGGAAAGAGCTCAAGGAAAAGGTGGTTTCTTTACTTAACATGTTAGATTTATGACCACTTGAGATAAGTTTTCTAGCGATCACTGAGAAATGTCCTGCCAAAGGGAAGCCATTTCAGGATCTCACAAGATGCGTGGCTTCCAAGGGGAGATTTTGGGGAAACAGCAGCATTTTTTAAACCCGTGACAAAGTTCTAATTCAAGGTATTTTGTGTTTGTGCACGGTGTCTTGAAATCTTTTTCTTGCTAGAGGGAAGGTGTTTTCCCCTCCCAGATGTACATATAACTGTCCACTCATTTCTATCGCTGCTATGGTTGCTTCGGGTGTAGCTTTGTTACTTTGCAGCGGGGTCTCCTTGCATAATCAGAGTAGCCCTGAGTTTGCCATCCTTCCGCCTCCGCCTCCTGAGCGCTGGGCCTACGGTATGCAGTATGCGCCACCTCTCAGGCCCAGGACCCTCTACTGACTCAATCTACTTTTGCAGCTTCTCCCAAGAGGGGTTGGTATCATCAACTCAATATTCAAAACGTTCAGATAGCTGACAGAAAGATGGCAAAATGAGCAAAAAATCATAAAAAGCATACTTTTTAATGCATATATATACATATATATAAAGTTTGTCTTTAAAAATGCTGATGAAATTTTTATTGGGATAGATTGAAAACTACGGAGTGTTAAGAGCATCTTAGTTTAGTTAAAAATAGATCCTACTCAGGAGACCTTCCACCACCACTGAATTTCCTAACTTCACTTGGCACCAACAAAATACAGATGGCAAACAGATACAGTTCTCAGCTTTTATGTAATTAAACTAATTTTGTAACTTCCTATTGATAGCTTTTGTGCAAAACCAATTTCAGTTGAAAAGGAAGTTGCAATATTCTATAAGTTCCCATAAGTAGAAATTTTAAGTGTGTGTGTATGTGTTTGCTGATGCGTATATGTGGGTGTTGCATATCTGTATGTGTGTGAGTGCATGTGTGCACGTGTGCCAATGTGTGTGCAGTGTGTGGTTTGTGTGTGTATACGTGTGTCAATGTGTGTCATTGTGTGTGTAGTATGTGTGTGCATAAGTGTGTGAACGTGTATTTAGTGTGTGTGAGTGAGTGTGTTTTGAACATAATGTAAGTAAGGGAGCTGTACATATGGAGATCAGAGGACAAATTGGTAGAATCAGTTCATATGGAAAGCAGGCATTGAACTCAAGTTATCAGTCACGGTTGGATGGCAAGTGCCCTTACTGGCTGAGACAATCTCGCCTGCCCTGGAAACTTTAATGCCATCATAGTTACCAGTCATTTACCAAATGGAGTTTCTACTTTCCTCCTTTCTCACTGGCAGTCCCAACAGTTCAAACAAGCCATGTTTATGAAGGAGGAATGTCAGAAGTCGAAGAATAGCAAAATGAACATATGGCTTCAGAACTATTTTCATTAAAACGTGGTAATTGTAAAGAAGCTGAAGTAAGGACCGTGTATTTTTAAATCCAGTTGAGTCAGTAAAGAAGATCTGAATCTGTCTTGAATGAGAACTTACTTTAGTAAAATCAATGCTGAATCCTCCTTGACAAAATCCCTGTCCATCAGCATCAATATTTTCTAAAATAAAAAGATTGGAAATATACACAAACCCCAAAACAAGCAAATAACACAAAACAAAGCATGAAATAAACAAATCTGCTATTGTTGAACCCATGGTTTCTTTAAGCGACTCACTCAGGCCCCTGGCCACTGTCAGACAAGCTCACATGCTCCTCACTACAATTCTACATCATCTCAGACACAAAAACAGAGACATTGAAGTGTGGACGGTGTAGGCCACTCGCCAAGGACCAGGAAGATCAGCTAAGATCGTGTTTTTTGACAGAATTCCACTACGTAGTCCAGACTGGCCTCAAAGTCAGGATCCTCCTTTCTCTGGCTTTCAAGTGCTAGGATTAAGGCAGGTGTCCCCACCGCTGGATTCAAACACAACTCACAGGAAAATGATAGCTTGTATCACAGTGCGTCAAACATTGTGAGTATGCAAAATAAATACACAACTTAAAGTCTCACGAAATATTATGATATACAATGTACTCTATAATGTCCACTATTCAATCATATCTTGTGTTTAGGAAAGATACCAATAGTGACCTGTTACACAGTAAACACCATTGAGTGCCCATCCACAAACTTAAGCCTTCTTCCTTCCTATTACCTTACGGTTGCTATGTCTTTGCTAAGTTTAGGAAAAGCTACAAAAAGACCCATACAGTCCTAACATATTTCCTATGCATGCGTTTTATAGATGATGACAAAAATAAAAAGCTAAACTGGGTGGTGGTGGGGCTTGAGTTTAACTCCAGCATTCGGAAGGCAGAGACAGGAGGATCTCTGTGAGTTTGAGGTTAGCCTGGTCTACATAGAGTTCCAAGGTAGCCAAGGCTACATAGAGAGACCCTGTCTCAAAAACAAACAAACAAAAGGTATAAATAACATGGTGTAGAATTTCAGAAAATTAAAATTGGAAAATCCAAAGTTAATGTTCCACGAAGAGTAAAATATTCAACTATTCTTGCTCTAGTCATAGGAGCTAATTAAGTTCATTTAAACATGACTCTCACGGTATTTTCCAACCACCGCAGTTAATAATTTGCTTGTTTGTAATTACTTCTTTTTTTTAAATGTCTCAGGGAAAGTGACCAGTTCTGAACTAAGTAATCAATCAATTAACTTAAGCTAACTTTAATCATGAGCAACACTACACCCAGAATAGAGATCAACTTCCAAGAATTCTGTATGTGTGTGTATGTGTGTGCGTGCGCGAGTGTGCACGAGTGCGTGTGTGCATGTGTAAGACAATCTCTTCAAATCTTTTGAGCCCATTTTTTAAAATCTGGGAACTGCCCCAAGATTACACAATGAAATATTTTTGTTTTAAGAAAACGGCCACAAGAGTGTAACACGATTCTAATGTAAATTTTTCTAACCAAGAGGGACCAGGAAACTGTGGCTGGGGTTTCCAGTGTCTGGTGAATCACATCGAACGATTGTGCTTCACCCTCAAGTCCACGCCTGTTTCCTTCAACCGAGCTACATCTGGGGAGCAGTCGGGCTAGCTGTGAAGACATGCCTTTTCCACTCCTCCTGTGAAACTATCTGCTTTGTTTGGTTCCCTGGGACGTCCAGCTGAAATGCACAGCTTCCTTAAAATTCCCATAACCAGTGCATACAAAGCTGGGTGTGTCTGACAGTTTAAACTTTCTGCTGAGCACAACGGAATTCAGTGGAGGGCTCAGTCTTTATCCCCACAGTTCTCCTGCTTGTCAAGCTTGGAAGGGGACAACGACTGGGGATTGGACAGTATGGTCGACTAGTGTGCACTAGGCATGTACTGGAAGCTACTACACACAACACATTTTCTTTCCAAGTTTGACAACCATCTCAGGAGAGATGTGATTATCAGTCACTGTTTGTACAGAGGAAAGACTAACACTTGGGGAAATTAAGTTCACCTGACAATGGTCAACCAGCGAACTACAGCTGTGTTCCTGATGACTACTGGGCTGGGCTACCCCTCCCAGCAGCTGGACCATCATTATCTGGATAAGGAAAAAGTGGGAGAAAAAGACTAGAAACCTTAGCTGAGAAAATGTTACATCCAAATATGGTTATCAAAATTAGAGATCAGGAACAGAGGCTCATGGTGGGAACAGAAGTCTTCACACCACGTGACTTGGGCAGCTTTTCAACAGATGGACATCTGCCTCCTGCTTCAGGCCAACTATGGTCATGGATAGTGTCATTGAAAACCAGAAGTAACCACAGGCAATAAAGAATTAACTGGGAAACAAGCAGGGAAGCTCTTTATCCAGGCTGTACACAGAGGTCATGATAAAAAACAAAACCAAACAAACAAACAAAAACCAATGAATCAGCGACCAACCCCCCCCCCCAAAAAAAAGCCAGAAACAAATACCAGTAAACACATACATAAACCACCACAGGCAAGACAAGTGAAGACACAAAAAGGTCAACACGCAGCCTCAAAAAACTAAAATCATCTTGTTCTGGACCATGTAGTTTACTGAAGCATGAGTGAAACATAAAATATCAAATGGTACCTCTAAAATGCTTGGCCGGGATCGGTGGTCTAACAGTCAAGAAACTAGGGCTGGGCATGGCTAAGGGAATTACCCAGTGCTACAGGGCTTCAGGGAATGGGAGGCTATGACCCAGTGTCTCAAGCTCTCCTCCTCTTGAGGGTCCCTGCTGGATAGGTTGGCCCCCTCCTAATTGGAGCCTTCAGATGTCTCCCATTTCAAAGGTTTGACCAAACAGCATGTACTGTAACCTGGCTTGCTAAAGAAAGGTATTTCCTCTGCTTATATGTCTTATGATGCTTTTCTTTGAGATGTTTTAGTTAGACCAGGTTCCATAAACTTTTTCTGAAAAGAGCCAGACAGTTAAATAATTCAGGAAGCAATGGGGGCATATAGTATGTCAGCTCCAGAATGACTCAACTTTCTACATAGTGTCTGAGCAAATGGGTGTGGCTATAGTTCCATAAAATAGGATTTTAAAAATTTTTGTTTTGATTTCGAAGACAGGGTCTCTCTGTGTAGAGTTGAAGCCTGTCTTGGAACTCACTCCGTAGACCAGGGTGGGTTCCAACTCACAGAGATCCTCCTGCCTCTGCCTCCTGAGTACTGGGATTAAAGGCATGTGTCACCACCACCTAGTTCCATAAAATAATATTTTAAAAATCAGGTTCACAAATCATAGATTGCCATAGTTAGAATTCTAAGTATCCCAGAAAATAAAGCCTCGTCACTTCATAATTGTTATGTCTAAAGCAAATGAATGGAACGTCACGACACAGATACACAAGGGCTCGCCACTAGAGTGCTCTTCAGAGGAGCTGAAAGGAAAGCGGAGTCTCTGGCTAATGATGCAAGGAAGGGTTCTACTAGGACAGGGCAGCCTAGAGGTCTGGGGCATAGTTCAAGGGTGAAAGTGCTTGACAACGTTAGACCCTGGACTGGACATCTAGCACCGAAAAGATAAAAAATAACCACCTGGGTTGAACTTCTTATTTGGCCATTCAGTAACAAAAAAACTTAGGTGAGGGGAAATGCTTCACCTGTTTCAAGTCTCAGTTTCTGCTCTTCTCGAATGAGAACAAAGATCACGGGTGTGTGTGTGTGTGCGTGCGTGTGTGTGTGTGTGTGTGTGTGCACTAGTCTATGCATATGTGCAAGTATGTGCATATGTGTTCTACATCAGCTTCACTGACACACGATGATTAGCCTCCTCCTCATAGCTATGGAGTTATAGTTTCAAAATGAGAGTGTCTTTAAAATATAGACGTTAAAAGTACAAGAGTCGTCCTTCCACTTCTACACACCACCGAAGATGATGACACCATGTCCTAAGCATCACCACAAACGTAATGAGAAAGATGGTGCCAACCACAAGGATGAAGCTCTGTCCTTATCCGTGCAGCCATGCAGAACATGCTCTCTAAACAGGTACCACCCTTTCGGTGTTTACTTTCCACTTACAATAGGTAGGATGATCAAGTGGTTAACTAATAATTCTTTAATTTAAAAAGTTGCAATTCCCTGGAGATTCAGAGAACTTAGAAGTTGGAAGACTGTGTCATTTCTCTGGCCCAACGTTACATGTCACCTAATATGGACAAGATGAATCTAGCAGGAAGAGTCTTAAGGTGTTGACTTTGATAGCTAATTCTGTCTGCTTAACTTGGTTGAGCATCTTTAAAAAAAAGGTACTGGGTGGAAACACTACATGGAGTCGCCTTTATTGGCACAGTTCTGCTGTTCATGATGTTCTGAAATTATTACTTAAGAAATTATTCTAAATAAACAATTCATAAAAAGAAATTTTGTGGCACATAGGATTTGACTACATATGGTCATAAGTGTTAGAAGGACCATCTTGCAGAATACGCCCTACAGACCAGACAACACTGCATTTGGGAAATCTCTGTTTATGTCTTTCGTGTAAAGAGGATGTAAAGTCAGGGACAATCCCACAAAAAGTAGCTTTGCAAAGTGTCTGGGATCCCCAGTGAAAGAAAGATAGGCGGAGAAAGGAGCAACTGAAATGATACCTGCTTGGAATCGCCTGGATATGACTTTCTTTTGGATTTCAACTACCATTAGGGAAGAGCCAGAGACTGTCGGGATAACCAACAGACATGCAGCGTTCACTGTCGATGGAAATTCCAACGGAAGTAAAGCCTGGCTATTTCAGACTTACGACACTTAAAAGCTATCCTCACCTTCCTTTGTGAACGGGCTCAGAAAGACATCTTTTGTTTACATTTTACTTTTAACATCACTATTCATCTACGGCCGTGGTTCTCAGACTTTGTGGTCCAACAAGACTACCTTACAGAACCTGTTGAAAGTGTAGACTCCAGGCCTGACCTGTGATGCCCATTTCCCCTGGAGAAAAGTTCACAGGAGCATCTTTTCATGAGCTGTGGCTGGAAATAACAGACTTCCACAGTCAGATAACAATCGTCACACAAAGATGACCGCACTGAGTACTTAGAGACCGTCACCATGGTTCATTCACCTTTGCAGTTTCTTTGCACATACACAAAGATGACCACACAGTTCTTAGAGACCATCAGCATGGTTCATTCACCTTTGCAGTTTCTTTGCAGGAGCAGAATTCTTTCCCACTGCTCTGTCAACCCCACAATGTCTACATATCTTGTCATACAAACACACACACACACACACACACATGCATCCCACATAAAACCTGGGCTGCTGGGCCTCTTGTGAAAAGCAGGTGCCGTTTGTCGTACATACTTGACCTGCACGGAGCATACTCAACAGTCTTTGTCCCGTGCTGAAGAAAGCAAGTTCCAACAGGTTCTCGCTCCTGCTTCATCTCCGTCCTCCAGTGGTACAAGGGAGCACAAGCCTGGAAACAAAGGTTTGGTCCATGATACAAGAATCCTCTCAAAAATCAATGATCCACCTACCTACGCTAACTCAGAGCACAAGAGCCCCGTCTAAGCATTGAAAATTCACAACTAGCCTCTGCTTTTTCTCAAGAGTGAATAAAGATATTAATAGAAGTATTTTTTTCCCTCTAGGCAGTGGTGGAAATTCCAGCACTTGGGAGGCAGAAACAAGTGGATCTCTGTGAATTCAAGGCCAGTCTGGTCTACAGAGCGAGTTCCATGACTAACAGGGCTACATGGAGAAACCCCATCTTTTTTTTTTTTAAAAAAAAGGGGGGGGACTGGAGAGGTGGCTCAGTGATTAAGTGAGCTGGCTGTTCTTCCAGAAGACCCAGGTTCTACTCCCAGCACCCTTATGATAGCTCACAACTCTCTGTAACTCCAGTTCCAGGGCATCTACCCTCACATAGACACACATGCCGACCAAACAATACACATAAAATAAATTAAAAAACCAAATAAATCATTTTTTAAAAATTAAAGTATTGTTTTAGATTCTCTGTCCTTCTAAACCTTTCAGGTAAGATCAGGAATAGATTTTTCTGAAGTCCACGCTTGTGCTTTCAGAAGTCAGCAGAGCTCTCGCTCCAAGTAAATTATTTCTAGACGCTATGCGCTGAACTTAAGGTCACAGCCTGAGTCAATTCCTGAACTACATCACATCCTCGAGCTTGCAGGAGATACCCTGCAGTGATGCAGCCAGAAATGAGAGTAATAAACAAAAAATACCCTGCTGGGCGCCGCGCTTCTCCTGCGGACTTTCCAAATAAACTTCCCAAAGGTCCAATTTCAATATCTCACAGGAGCGGTGAAGTGATGAGTGTTTTAATGGCTTACAAAACTTCCAAAAGTTCAACAGTTTAAGTGGCCGGAAGAAAGCTCAGCATATTTCTACACTAACTTTTAAGAGAGACTCTGACCTTGGGCTATTTCATCCCCGGTCAGTGGAACCTAAAGCAAGAGCCGTGACTTCTCTGCACGTCCCCGACTCTGCAGAGCGTGTTGAGCTGCGGTTTGCTCCGTGTATCTTTCCTCCTCACGCGCCCCTTCTCACACCTTCAGCTCTACGTGCTAACACTTGATGGGTCCCCTCATATCCTACTGAAACCCCAACTCTTCAGCAGCTTTCCCCTAATACCCCAACAACACATTACAATAAACAGTAAGTAAAAATGAAATTAAAAGTGACCACTGAACGGAAGGGGATGGCTGGATAAAAATCGACAAAGCACTCTCCAGGTAGAAGGGACATAAGCACTGACTGAAATGGAAATGAATGGGTTTGGTTTATGTGAAAGAAATAAACAGAAAAACAAATGTCACTGACATGTCTAAGATGGATTGAGGTAACAAGGAAGGACAGCCCTTAACTTTTATGTCAACTTGACAAAGGCTAGAGTCATTTTGGAAGAGGGAACCTCAACGGATAAAAAAACGCCCTCGCCAAATTAGCGTGTGGGGAATCTTCTCGACGACGGAAGATTGATGTGGGATACAACTCACGTGGGTGGGGCCGGCCCTGGACTGGTGATCTTGAGTACTATAAGACAGCAGGCCTAGCCAGTCATGAGGAGCAGCCCAGTAAGCAAGACCCTCTATGGCTTCTGCCTGGTTTTCACCCCTGACTTCCTAGGATAATGACCTTTAAAGTGGAACTTTGTGCTGAAATGAACCTCCTTGGACTGCTTACGGTGCCCGTGTTTATCACAGCAAACCCTGCTGACAACAAACCTGGCTCTAGTCAGACTTATATGCCAGTTCCATCAAATGCGGGGATAGAAAGCCACTTTACTGTTTTAATCGAGAGGGTGAAATGCTGATCCCCTTAAGTCTTGCTATGCGGAACAGGTTGTGGTGGGGGCTTGAGGAAGCTGACAGATGAGAAGAACAATCACACTGGCCTGGGTGAGCGATGGTGGTGCCTCACTGCAGCGCAGATCACAAAGATGGAGATCTGTTGATAGATGAGGCCTTTTGGAGGTGGATATGTTTTGATAGGGATCACTGGTAGGCAGAGTGGGAAGCCACACATGCCAGAGAAGTCATCCAGGAATAAGCGGCCTCTGCTTGTTTACTCATTCTCTTTGGTAGAGGGTAACAAGAATCCCACTTGGGTCATAGTCATTCAGAGTAGACTATCAGAAAACTAAGAAGGGCAGATAGATAATTTAGGGATATGTCTTTAAGGATTTTGGCCCAACTAATAGCTAGAGATATTGATTGGGAGATTAATATATACAGTGTGTATTCACAGATAAGGAGCAAGAAAGGAGCATCTAGGTAAACAGTTTAGTGAGGGAAAACAATGGACCCTTTAGTAGAGCTCAAAGACACCCCAATATTTAGTAACTGAAGAAGGATCATTACCGAGGCATCAAAAATGTGAGCAAGATGGGGGAATAAAACATGAGCCTACAGAGCCTCATAAACCAAGAGATGAAAAAGACTAAGTCTGACATGGAGGCAGGCTGTCGTCCTTTCAGAACCTGGAAAGTAAAGACTGGAAGACTGGGAGTTCAAAGACAGCCAGCTACAGAGTGAGATCATGGCTCAGGGTGGTGAGGGGGTAGCTACAAAGTGTGTGGGGAGGAGAGATGGCTGCAGAAGGGGCTCAGAGAAGGTGGCTTTGCCAGAGGAGCCAGGTTAGGGTCCCCAGCACCCACATGGCAGCTAACAGCTGTCTGCAACTCCAGTAACAGGGGAGCTGAGGCTCCCTTGGCACTGCACGTGTGTAGTGCAGAGACATACAAGGCAGGCAAAACACCCCATTCACAAAATAAAACTGTTTAAATAAAAAAAAAAAAAACGGTGTGCAGGAGAATGGGGATTGACTTTGTTTGATGGTGCCAAGGGGAAAGAATAAGAAAGTATCCATGCAGAAAGTAAAACAGCACAACAAACATCTCTTTCCAAACAATGTAGCAGTAAAGTTTTAACAACCTCGAAGTCTGAGTGACCTTGGTTTTGCCTTTTCCTGTGTGGCTCAGGTTCCTGAAAGGAGAAGGTTAGGAATGGAGACTGTTCTGTTAAAAGGACAAAATAACTGTCTGGACAGAGGACGAGGCTGCAACAGAACAGAAGACTAGAGGGTGGTTTGCAGTGTTTGTTTGATGGGGGTTTTTATTATTTTGGGGTTTTGTTTTGTTTTGTTGGGGTTTTAAAAAAATTGAAAGCATTTGATTAGCCAAAGCCATTCTCTTCTTAAATGTGATGGACAGAAATAAACTGGCGGGGATGACCGTGGAGCAGAAAAAATGAACAGCGAAGGCAAGGAGGGAGAAGAAGACGGTAATCTCAGGAGAGGATGAGGGACAGGACGCTCACACTGTCGGCCTTGGATCATGACTATTATTTCATTATACCTTGTGCCCTTGGACAGACCAACTTGAACATATAACAAGTCCTGTGCACCACCCAAACTAGCCCCACACACGTGAGATAATTCGTAGACTTACCAGGATTTTATCCTGCTTTGACCTCACAGAGGCTCCAAACCACTGGTGGGACTTGAACTCCAGGGGATCGTCTTTGGCAAAATCGCGATTACCTGGAAAAGAATGTTGAGAGTGGTCAAAAACACAACAGACTGTTCTTAGTACAAAAAACTGTATTTCCATCCCGCCAGGTTTAGACTAGTGTGTGCGTGTGCATGCGTGTGTGTGTGTGCGTGGTGGGGGAGGGGGCGTGCCGTTAGTCCCAGCAATCAGGAGGCAGAGGCAGGAGGACCTCTGTGAGTTCAAAGGGTAGTATACCTTTGATTACTCAGACACTGACAACACTGCACTTACCGCTTGTCTTTGATACAGCTTAGGAATGTTAGCTAGTCATAAAAATGTGTGGGGCCGGAGAGATGGCTCGGTGCTTAAAGTCCCTGCTGCTCTTGCAGGGTCCTGGGGCTCAGTTCCCAGGACCCACTTAGCAGTTCACAACCATCTGTAAGTCCAGTCCCAGGACACCCTCTCCTGTTGTCCATGAACCTTGCACACACATGGTGCACACACATACATGTAGACAAAACAGTCATACACATAGACCTGAAATTAAATCTTAAAAAAGGAAAAGAATGACTTGTAAATGTCTAAAGTTTGCTGTGAACACTATTAGTTATCATATCACAGATGTGGAGAAGTAATTTTAAACCAGGTTTTTCAGTTCAATTATTTAAATTGCAAAATAACTGTAGCAAACACTATAATCATATGTTCCTAGGCACTCCTGCTGTAGCATAAACGTATGTACAAATATCAATTAAAAATGGCAAAGGAGAGTAAAAGACAGAGTAAGATGAGTGCCCCCATGATGTTACATGTATGTACACACAGACACACACAGCTAAAGCTATATGTTAAGATGGGTCTAAATGCCACAAAGAAATGACCTCTGCTAATATATTTGGCTTCTATCCTAAAGAAGGTTCTCATGAACATAAGGCATATATTTTCATCCATGAAAAGGTATTTCAAGACAAATATCTAAATTTAGATACACTAAAATTATTACTATCATAGATATCTTTTTTTCCCTCCGAGCAACAGTGATAGAAAATCTCTGACATCATCTTTAGTATCGTACAATACCCTGTTCCACGGCCATATTATAGTTTAATGAATTCCTTGCACCTCTTACTGTTTCCAAAGTAGGGCTATTCAGTTTTATGGAACCTTCATATACCCTCAAGTCACATCTATGTGTTCTTCCACTACACATAAACATCTCAAGAAAGCAAATCGCTGGGGTCTGGGACACAGGCTCACAGGCAGAGTGATAAAAACCTCTAAGAACGTGGCACACTAGCAAGAATTATTCTAAGGGATAGACTTCTACCAAAGCCCCCAAGATATGCCTATCATGAGCTGTAAGTCTTGCCTTCTGCCTGTCTTCTGTCCATGGAACTAGGTAATCTTATTTTGTCACACAGCCTTTGAAGTCAAGGCTCATCTGCCTGGAAAACTTCATTCCTTTTCCCTTGAAATTCTGATACTTCCTGAAAATCCAGCTGCTAGTCACTCATGACCTAATGCATGATGTCATGGCTTCTTATGGAAACACAGGTCTACTACAATCCAATTCTGCGAACCTATGAACACAGTTGTACAGCAGCAACAAAGGAGTTACCTTCCAGATCAGCAGTTCTCAGCCTGTGAGTCACAGCCCCTTGGGTCACTTATCAGATATTTACATTATGGTTCATAACAGTTATGGCCAGTCAGTGGTGGTGCACACCTTTAATCCCAGCACTTGGGAGGCAGAGGCAGGCAGCTCTCTGTGAGTTTGAGGCTAGCCTGGTCTAAAGAAAGAATGAGTTTTATAGCAGGCTCCAAAACTACAGAGAAACCCTGTCTCAAGGGAAAATAAAATATAGTTATGAGGTAACAACAAAATAATTTTATGGTTGGGGGACACCACAACATGAGGAACTTACTAAAAGGTCACACCATCAGGAAGGTCTAGAACCTCTGCTCTAGAACAAGAAAAGGTTTTGCACAAAGAAATGGAAGAGTAGATCCTCCTCAACTTCCAAGAGTGTTGACTTAAGGGTTATGCTCCACAATTAGTGGCGGAAAAGCCAGGAACACCGTTGTCAAGGGCCTTTCTGCCATGCTGCGAATGGCCTCCCAGGGACTGTCCAAACACACTCTGTGTTAAGTCATGTTTCTTCAGTTATTTTAGTCTTGATTGTTTGGAAAAAGTTTTTTCTTTGTAAAATGTTATTTACATTTTTTCCACTTTTCAAAACTATTTCAAATACTTTTCTCAGCAAGGGTACTGTATTCTGAGTTTGTATTCAGCAGCATGAGCTGTTGCTGTGTACTGTCAAGTAGCAAAAGCTCGTCATAGCCACTATGGTCTAAATCACTCTTTAAAAGCAAAGTATGGACAGCTGAAGAAATAGCTCAGGAAACCCCTGAGTACAGCTCCCAGTATCCAAGCAAGGTGACTCACAGCCTGAGGATCCAATAGCCTCTGAGGATACTTGCATACAAATGGCACAGACATTCAAAAATACATATAATTAAAAACTAAATCTTTGAAAACAGTATAGAAATAAGATAAAATAAAATGGAATAGAAAATACTTCCTGCTACACTTTTCAGAGTCTCCAGGCACTAGCTATCCTGGGACACAGGTCCTTCTAGCAGACAACCCACAGACAATCTTAGTGGGTTTTCTGGGAGGCACCTATGTCTTGCTCCAAAGCACTCTTCCTTGGGAACCTGGCGACTCCAGGCAGTTCTAGTCCTGACCTTGCCGACCACCTGAAAGAGCAATAGCCAAAACCCTTCCCAAGCCTGAAAGCCAAGTGTAGCATGGATGTGTACTGATAGACTCGGGGAACGGCTGTGCACTGCCTAGTCCCCACAGGGCAGAGAGACCAACAAGTAATGTCCCATAAACTGATGGGCCATCGAAGACACCTGCCTGCTGTGGAAGTCTCCATGTGTATTTGCAGCACCCTCGTTTGAGAAAAGCATATGTGCCCCCGTGTAAGGACAAGCTCCTGGAGTCCTCTTCCTTTTCCATGAGGACAAGAGTCAGAGCTCTCGCTCCATCTGCTGCTCGGGGATATCCCCAGCATCTGTGACAGCCACTATAACAGATGCCACTGTCTGGAGTGTGTGGACATCCTGGTGGGTCCTGGAACCTCAGAGTGAACCCATGCCATGGCCTGCGGAGGTTGATTCTTGCAACTTCCTTTTTCTCCAAGCTGGTGGCTGCAAAGGTGGGAGACCCTTTGCGGGAAGAAAGAGCTAGAGCTGGGGTTTGGGGGAAAGTGGACTAGTTTTGAGGCAGGAAGACTGAAGAATTTGGAAGCGGTCACAAGTATCATGAGGAGAGACGTGTAGGGATGAGGCCCCTGTGACCTTGTGTATGGCCTGACGTAACCCCAACTCTATTTCTGGAGACCTCTGCCCTAGCTGGTCGAGTCCTACAGGATGCCCAACTACACACAGCCCTTCTCCTAGGTGTTGGTGAAGAATCTGCCGTTGACCGAGGAAGATCAAGCCACAGCAGTCGGCTGTGACCTCCAAGGTGTCAGCGCCGAGTCCTGTAGAATGCTGTGTGGGTATGGAGCGACATCAGAGGAGTGATGAGCAAGCATGTGGCCCTGACACCAGAGAACAGTTCTTGCAGTCCCCAGTCAGTACTGGAGCCAAGCTGGAGTCCAAGAGACTAGACCCCTGGTGGGGAACGACCTTCTCCCCCTACGAGAGTACTTCAAATACTTTTCCCAGAACTCACTTCCTCTTTGCAAATGAATCATACAAGGAAAAGGGAGGCTTTCCTAGAACCACACAGGGAAGCCTTCCTCCTATGGCCTTTTCCCTCTGCAGAGTTTTCTTCCATTTGCTTGCTTGCTTTTGGGTTTTTTCTATTTGGTTCTTATGGTGTGGAAGCCACTATCAAGCCCACTGTGGGGGTAGGAGACACCACTGTCATGCACACAATAGCCCAGAGTGCATCCTCAAAAGCATTTGTATTGCTGTTGGGACGTTTAAAATATATTACAGGATAGAAGAAAAGAAAGAAGAAGGAGAAGAGAAGGAAGGAAAGAAAGGGAAGGAAGGAAGGAAGGAAGGAAGGAAGGAAGGAAGGAAGGAAGGAAGGAAGGAAGGGAGGACGGAAGGAAGGAAGGACACCTCTTGCCATGACTTTCATGGACTAGTCTGTGTGAATGCTGGAACTAACGAAAACTAGAAAATGCATGCAAGGTTTATATATTTGGTTTTATACTTCTCAACAAATACAAAATCCATAGTTTTTTTCCATTTGAAAAATTACTTACCACTTAGTGGAAACAAACCAACATTCGTCAGAAGTTTGTTTTTGTTTTTCAAAAAGCATCAAACAGCAGACGTGGTGCATTTTGATGAAAGCAGAAATTTTAAGGCAGGCATGGTTATGTAGTCTGTAATCACTACACTCAGGACACTGAGACAGGTAATTCATGAGTTTGAAGTCAGCCTGTTGAGCCTATATAGCAAGTAGACCCCGTAGTGGTTTGGAAAAAAAAAATACCCCCAAAGGAAGTGGTGCTAATGGGAGGTGTGGTCCTGTTGGAGGAAGTGTGTCCCTGTGGAGGGAGCTCTGGGGTTTCATGGATGCTCAAGATACCACTCAGGGTCTCAGACCACTTGCCCTTGCCTTCTGATCAAGATGCAGCCAGCAATATGTCTACCTGCACACCGCTATGAACTAAACCTCTGAACTGGAAGCGCTCACCTCAACTAAATGTTCTCCTTTATAGGAGTTGCCATGGTTATGGTGTCTCTTCACAGCAATAGAAACCTAAGACAACCCTATCTTAAAAAAAAAAAAAAAAACAGAGTAGAAGTCTTAGTTTCCTTAGTGTAGGAATTCTCAACCTTCCTAATGCTGCAACCCTTTAATACAGCTCCTCACAGTGGGTTGACCCCCATGAATAAAATTATTTTCGTTGCTACTTCATAACTGTAATTTTGTTACTGTTATGAATCGTAATTTGAAAAGTTTTGGAGACAGAGGTTTGTCAGTGGGGTCACAGCCCACAACTTGAGAACCACCGCC